ATGCCTGCTTATATTTGCCTGCTTAGGACAGAAGGGACATGCACAGCAGACAGCTCCTACTAATCACCTCCTTTGTAACAACATCATACTTGGATTGGTAAAGGTTACTAAAAGCACAGAGAAATTATGGCTCATGTTGGGTAACTTTGGAAACATTAGCTTCTATAAATATTCAAAAGGGACAAAAAGCAAGCCATTTCTGTTATTTAGCACAGTACAACAAAATCCTCCCCTGCTGGAGGCTCCTTAATAGCTTTGTCTTGACAGTTTGTTTTGGATATTATTCTAATATTTATATGCACTTTGAGGGTGAATGGATGAAGCCGTCACAAAGCTGGTTCAAAAAGCTGGAATCATACACGAACAGTGCATATTTGACATTAAACCATATTTAAAATATATTGCTCAATTCTTGAACTCTGGGAATCCCAGTTCCTGCAACAAAACACACTCCTGTCTCAAAAACATGTAAATTGCCATTAATTCTAAAATGCATTATGTGGTGGTTTGTAAGTGTTAGGCCACAAAATCAAAATATTGCTAGAAAGAAGAAGAAAAGCATTCAGAGAGCAGGCTTTGGTGACTCAACCAGCAGAGCAGCTACTGGTAACAGGAAGTTTTTCTGGGTTAGATTATACCATTTCACCAGGCACTGATTAACTGAAGAAAAAAGCATACATATCAGATCAGCTACAAATGCTGCTCTGAAGGAGTGAGAAAGATGTGCTTGGATCACAGCCTATGGGCCAATCCTGCAACTGCTTTGTGCACAGCTGCTGTTCCAAAGAATTGCCGAAGCACCAGACTCAGTCCCATCCCAACTCTGATCCTGCCCTTCGGACCACACTATCAAACCAGCAGTCCGTAGGCTGCCCATGAGAAGATCCACAAGGATGTTTATTCCATATGCCTGTTCACTGGGCTTAGCTCTCAGTCATCCAGAATCTTTTGACCAAATAACACTGCACGTTTCTGGTGCATCGTCTGAGTTGCATAAGCTTTGGTGCATAAATTATTACTAAATAATGTGCACACAGAAAACACAGCACTAACCCCTCACCAGTTCCAATCTGTTGTGTGAGAAACCCATATGAGATGGCTTTAGGAAATCTAATTTCCATTCTTTTTGTTTGGTTGGGGGGGGCGGGTGTGTGTTAATTTTATTTTATCACCTTAGGAAAGCTTATTAGACCGCTTATTAGACCATTACCATCATACTAAGAAACCCATGCCTTTTAGAAGTAGCCCAGCAACTGGTCCTCTACTTACTGTTCTAAATACAAATTACTCTTTATGTAAATTGAAGCAAGTAGCTATGTCTGAGTTACATCAACTGGAAACAAACCCAATCTCAACATTTTACCACTTGTTCCGCTAAACGAGACAGATATTAATGTTCTAAGATTTCACAGTTTCATAACTATGTAAAGTTGTTCTAAATATTGACATTCTTGAATCCTTCTCAAGTCAATTCACATCACACTGTACCTGCCTTAGGCTCTGCAATGCTGCAAGATAGTTTGACTTATGCTCTCATTCTTACAAACAAGGCTCACAGGACCTACACTTACAAAGCACTGCAGTCACATGAGACAACTGGCTAGAAGACTCAGCAAAAGAAAGGAAACACTAAGGAATCTTTGGAATCTATAGTCCAGGATGTTTAGATACTGTAGAAGCCCATATGCTACCCAAAAATTATTTCATTTTTTAGTTCTAAGATAATTGCTGTAACAATAACACAATTATAGTTTAAAACGTGTATTTTCTACTGTTTAGCTCATAAATTAATACTTTTACATTTTAAATTGTTCTTAGTTATTGAAGTTTTCTCTTCCTGTTCAGCACATGTCAACAAAGATACTTCCCTTCCCATCACTTTCAATCCACAGAAACACTTGCTTAAACTTAAGTGAAGAGCCATTTATACCCCGTGTACAGCAGCTGAGGATTTCTAGATCTCCACTGGCAAAAGAGGAAGCAGCTTTTCCAAGAAATTGAACTCAGGCATTGCAACTCCTTGGAAAAGACACAGCAGTGAGGACTGAACTACAGGCCCCAGCAGCAGCAGCCATGGGGGGGATTTTTCCAGAGGACAGACATAATGAAATACTGCCAGATACACCCGGCACTCCAGAATCCAAGACTATAAAGCATGGAAGGTTCCAACTTGACACAAGTAAAAGTCTTTTCACAGTGAGGAGAGGCAAGCATTAGAATAGGCTGAATAAAGAGGCTAGAGAATCTCCAATTTTGGAAGCTTTCCAGATCTGATTGGACAAAGCCCTGGGTAACCCGGTCTGAACTCAGCATTGACCCTCCTCTGAGCAGAAGGTTGGACTATGTGACTTCCCAAGGTCACAGCACACACCATGAATATATATGGAGTGTTTTTAGCAGGCTTTTTCCTGTCAGAAAAGGATGAAGAGAAGTAAATAGCAGGCACGTTGTTATCTTGACCTCTAGAAGGCCAGCGACCATTCCTACAACATCCTGTCGTTTGTCAAGAGAACTGATAAAGATATCTAGGACCCGCAAACAATTCTAGAGAAAGTTGCTCAAACCAAACACATGAACAGTGCCTGATTTTGCCTTCTCCCATCTCAGCTTACTGAAAGACGTGTTTTAAACCTTCAAGGCATACTTGAAGATGTAGACCTTCCTTCACAGTCCTAACTAGAATTGTCCATAGCATATGTACTGTGGTGACAAACTTTGTTGCCAGCATCCCACATGGACGAAACCTGTTGTGATTCCAAACACTGTAATGGCAAATATGGCATGAACATGGCTAAAGGAACATTTATTCTTCGAAGAGTGAAGACATCTCTAACGCTTTTACTAGTGTCATTTACCAACCAAATGTTGCTATGAAGTCCCCAAGGCACAAATTGCTGGAAGCTGAGGGAGAACATGCTGGAGAATATTCTTACAGTCTTTTCAATTATGCAAGGAGAACGTCAAACCAGGCCCTGCAGGGCATGCTGCTACTATTATTCTCTACAGCCAAACAGCAGGCACACTTATAAATTCAGTGACATCCATTACTCTGAGCAAAACTGTTTCAGACAAAATCACAGCTCCCAAAATATGCATTAGCAACAATGTGGAAAGACCACCAACATTATACATTTCTGTGGTCCTAAAATGGATACAGTGAGAGCATCAGGTTGCCAAAGCGGGTTCCTGAGATGCATGTGATTCCAGACCAAGACATAAGCTTCAGCTTCAGTGAAACCAGGCTTGTGAACTGGGGTAAAGAATTCCCTACAAGTGGGACAGAGTTCAACACTGTGTATATTGAGAAAGAGCATGATCCTGCATGTTTAGGACTTTGCAGCTTTCATCTTTACTGTCACACTTCAGGACTTGTGTTTTGAACTTGGTAAAAAAAAAACCAAACAAACAAAAGACAAAAAAAAAAAAACCTGACAGTGTTTTTTTAACAAAGTCTCTATATACATACTTTGCAAAGCCAATGAAGTCTTCATGGTTGGTGTTGATGTAAGAAACCTGGATATCAATCAGCAGGAGCACCTATTAGGGAAGACAGGAGAGCAAAAAAAGAATGGGTAAGATGGAGGAAAGAGATTGAGGAAAAGGAAGGGAGAACAGAAAAGAAATTTCGAGTTTTCTGCATTATCGAATATTGCTTTCATAACTGTTGAAGCCAAAAGCAACAATATTTTCTAAATCCCACCACTTCGTGTGGTGTTTAATAAGCCAGACTACAGAAGAGCTATTTCCTCTTCCTATTTTTTCCAGACAGACCTTGTTTTTAACTATATTGGCCCTTGTCCACTTCATTAAGATCAATCATACATGGCCAGAGAGAGTCTAATAATATATAACATAGATTCTAGCTCTACATTTTGCAAGTTAACAAAATTCTGTCTATTTGTAGCATTCCGGCCGAGCCAGCAAGGAACCCAAACCCTAAACCTGAAATAACGGTACTTAAATTTTCTTTAGGTACTACACAAAGAAGCGATAGATAAGCTAGCCCTGGCCCAGAAAATGTACAGCCTGGGTACTAGACAGCCATTCTGGTGCACACATCTGGCTTGAGAGATGGGCTAGTCAAATAACAGAATGAATGGTTTGTGTACTTACCACTTGCCAGTTTTCCAATAGTCCAGAGACAGAATTTGATTCAAACTTGATAATCTAACTCGGCAAAGAACTTGCCAAGATATTAGAGAAAGCTCACTCCCACCCTTGAACAGCTGCTTGAACATGCATGAGACTACACTTTCCTCCATCTTTTCAAACTTCCATTTATCAGCAGGGAGTAAGGAAGAAACCTATTGCTACCAAATGGTAGCATTTAATCTCTTCAAAGTGCACAGAGTTATTTCTGTACTGCAGAAACACAGCATCACTCCCAAATTCTTCACAATTTCCAGACGATATTAGGTGCCTCACTCAGAGCAAAAGATAGAGGGGATCTGGGTCTAGCTCTTACCTCTGAAAATATCCTCACTAGTGTTTTGATTTATTAATGATAACTGCTAACAGCATAAATAATTATGTGAATATGTGACAATAACCAATTTGACTAATTCTTGGGATTTACAGAAAGCTGATACTTTGTACTTTGTTCTGGGAAATTGCCAGGTACGTGCACACAATGAAGAATGGAATAAGAAAAAAGACTCAATTACTCTAAGTAACTTGTATCTTCTTCCAAATTTTGAAATAACTGAGCATGCTAAGTAGAACTCCTTGTAAGTACAAGCCCAGCAAATAGAATTTTTTCAAAATTATTCTTAAGACTACATTCACAGCACAGATTAAAGGAAAAGAAGCAGGCTGGACATGCTGCACAGCTCCCTAGCTCACACAGGGACAGGACTAGAGAGCCAGGAGTCCAGAACAGCTTAGAAGCTCTGCCTAGCCCTTCTTCCCCAAACATTTCTGTTGTCACACTCTGCACTCTCCAGACAATAATTCCTGTTTCCACTTCCAGTGGATTTTTTCACATGTAATCTAAGCTTTGAAGTTTCCTGGATTTGGAGTGCTTAGCTGGGTGATGAATGTTCTAAACAAGTTTGTCTAAAAAAACCCTTTATTTTAAAAACTTGAAGGAAAGCTTGTCACTCCCACAAGAGTCCCAGTACAATTGCTTGTGGACCTCACTGTACTTAGAACATGGGATGAGTATGTTAAAAAAAGATGGAAACAAAGTAGAAAAAAGGCTGGGTATTTCTATGTGTGTTTGTTTAATCACTAATTGATTTCCTACAACCAGCTGTTGTGGCACAGATAAGAAGATGGCACACTGCGGCACGGGATCAAGCCAATGCTACTTTAAGACATCAATCCTAATCTTGAAAGATGAGATTAGGATTTTCTATAACAATTCTAGTCTCCTCTGTCAAAGCTCAATGGTAGAGAAGCAATTTCTCTCCCTGTCTAAAATGTGCAGCCTGCTGGAAAAAAAAAAAAAAAAAAAAAGGACAAATATTTCATTGTCTTATTGTACTTTGTACACAAGAACCTTCCTCCTTCACACACTTCTCCAAACTGTTAGGTCTATTTATTCCCACCTGATCCTTGGTCTTCTCTTCTCTTTCACGAATGTAGCTGGCAACAATTCTTTCTGTTTCCTCACACAACCTTGGATATGTTGCCAACTGAAAAGCAAAATAAATAGAAATTTACATCTGCAGGGTAGCTTCAGTATAATACAAACTGAAGAGCCTCCAGATTTCCTCTTTGGTAGAAGGCAATTATTATAAACGCTTGGGCTAAAAGTTAACTACACTACAAAGCAAGCCTTACTTTGCTATTAATGGTCATTTTCACAGTCAAAGAAACTGAAGAGACCTAAACCCTTGGATAGTTTCTATGCTTTTGCTTCATGGAACATTGAGGAAAAGACACTTTGGACACGTCAAGCAGAGTTTATCAGCCTTGGGGTGAGGTTTCTCCATGCCTTTCTCTTCTACCGTGCCTAATTCTAGAGCAGCGCTTTCAATAGTTCCCGAGTTTCTTGTTCTTTGAAGGCTCCACCTTGTGGCAACATCTTTACATCTCAGTAACAACCCTTAAAAATGTAAACAGCAAAACACAACAGTGAATTTGGACAACAGCACTGAGAAAAGAATCTCTACAACTCATTCAAGGGACATATCTTCCAAACTTTGACAAAAGTGAAAAAACTTGGAAACTCTGCTGAAAATATTGCAGTGAATCTACTTCTCTATGATTTTTGTCAAAAAGATTGTCACCCTTTCCTGTTTCAAGAAATAGTTCCTTTACCTGCTCATTGGTACCAAAAAAAAAAATGCATTATTCAGAAAAATGCAAAGGGTGTGACAGGTTATTTCTCAACAACTTCAGCGTACCTGTGCTCACATCCCAGAACCACTCCTGTACTTGCTACTATTAGGGTACCCTGCACTCTGAGACAATAGGAAAGACCGATGAACAGAAGGTGAGAAAATAAAAGTATCCAGTTAGCTAAGAAGTCTACAAGAGTCAATGGGATCTTCTAGAATATCAGAGTAATGGGAGACAACAGAATTGAAAATCAACAACTGTTAGATGTCAATGCTCCAGACAAGTGAGTCACAGTATTTACAGAAAACAACTTTCCTATGAAGGTGAAAAGTGTGAGAGAAAAAAAAGCATGATATTAATATACCTGACGTACTTCCTTAGCCACAGCTGGGGAGTGTGAAGTTTGAGGTTTCATTCTAAAAGTAGACACCAACCCAAGTACACACACTTCAGGAAAACCATTCCCGAATACTCATAGTAATGCCACGTTTAGTTTTGATTAATGTATTTCTTAATTTATTACACTTGAGGATCTTGAGTTAAAAGTTTAATTGATGCACAAAACTTCCACATCAGGAAGTTCAATACTCAGCAGTGCTTTCCACATAAGTGCTCAACATTTCTGTGCAGCAAGGTCATTCATTAACACTAATGCAGGATGTAAAAACGCGAGGGAGATGAAGCCTTCCTACCTTTCCACGTCTAACTTCTTGACAGTTGGACATCTGATATTTTGGGGTTGTATATGAAAAAATCTCGGGAGAAGCTGTGCATTACATTGCAAAGAACTGTAGTGCCACCCAGTAAAGTTTCAATATGGAAAGAGCATTTTTCTCCCCTTGATAGATGTCTTTGACACATTTGAGGCCTTTGCTCTAGAAAAGTTTCACTGTTTCTTCCTCTAGCATTGGAAAAGAAAACTTTAAAGTACAATTCTTTTTGCTGATTTACACATCTCTGGAATTGCTGTCTACGTTCCATTTTCAGTACCAATGAACACATGGTTTTAAAGAGGGAGCAACTCTTGACTCAAAAAACCTCCAGTCATAAGGTGTATATTCATATATTCAAAACACAGGAATCGAATGAACATTTCCAGCATTACATTGTTTTGAGAGATTTGCAGAAGTTTTAATTAGAGAGTCTTACTCTGTACATCAGGTGACTAAATTAGAAATCTCTTATAATACTGTAAAATGCAATACAGGCTTTATATTATCTACTATACCATTACATTATACTTATATTAACAGATCTATTTGCAAGTTACCTTTTTAGTGCACTTCTTGACAGTGTTGATTAACTCTTGCATCACCAGATCCACACTTTTTAAGCAAGGTCCTTTCAGCTTGACTATCTGTTTTTTAACAATGGCTTCAAATGCCATATCAGGAGTAAACAAACCTGTTCTGTGGACACAAAAGAATATGTAAGACAGTAATAAAAACATCATGCAAGGAAGATTTTTTTTAGTGAATTGCTCATATCTCTATTTTCAGAGGCTTACAGCTGAGTAATTACAATCCCTACACAGACTTCCTCAGAACTAAATTTGCTCCTTTCTCTAAAAAAGGTGTCATTGTAAGTAAGAATATAAAAGTAGAAACATGTCCTACTATTTGAAGATGATTGCAAGAACTCTAAAGAGTACTGACATAATACAGTAAAGCCTCTTCAGCAGTGCATCAAACCTTAGAGAAGGGATGAATGGCAACTGAAGCACTCCATGAACAATCAGTTGCATAGCAAACCCGTAAGAATACTATAGCTGCGCTTTCCTCTTCAGTCACAACATGAAATGTGGTTCTGGTAATCAAAGTCCTGGAGAATTTCAGTTGGTCACTGCAGTGTGGATGAACCTATATAACAGGTACCTCACAGAAACAGTTCTAAACAAAGAGGCCTTACTTCTCTCTCAAACACTACTTGCAAAGGTCTATCTTGGCAGATAAATTATACAAAAAAGCAAACTACAAAAACATGCCCAAAACTATCAGTTCACTGACATAAATAGCTCATCAAGACCTTTCTACCAATAAGGCCAGAAAAGTTCAAATACTGCACCACCGCTGCTAGAATCAACCATTTGAGAATTTACTATACAAATATCACAAAGAACATTTTCCAAACCCTAACAACAACAAAGCTTGTACGCAATGCTTTCAAAAGATATTACGTACTCAGAAGTGACGGGGGTAGGGGGGTGGCATCACACCACAAAAGAACCCCCCAAGCTTTTTTGAATCTGTTTTGTCAAAAGAACAAAAAATGGGTATGCATCTGATAAAGTGTCCCTCCAAAATAGACTGATCATTCCAAAGTGAGATAATTAGGTCATTCCAAACCAAAAAACCAAATACCTCCTCTTCCCAAACCTAATAATACACTGCAGACATATCCACAAAGTAAAACCTCAGCCAACTCACTTGTAAATCAGTCATTTCAAGAATCGGTTGAGAATAAAGAGGAGTAAGATAGGGCAAGGAGTCTGCTGCAACACACGCTGAAAGGTTTTTTCCATATCAAGACACAAGTTTTCCCCCAAAAACCTATGACTTTTCAGGAATACAGGCTTAACAGAACCGCAAACATAACCAAAAAAAAAAAGTCATTGATTTTCTCTGTAAAATAATTTTCTGGCATTTCCAGGTAAATTAAACCCCTTTGGGCAAACCAACTGTTTGGCCCAAAATAGCTGTCTGAAAAACAGAAGTGTAAAGGAGTGGAAGAAAAAAAGTCAGCTGCTGGGAGCAGTACATTAGTAACACAGTCTAGCACTCAATATCCAGTGTGTCCACAGGTTAAGACAACCACACCCTCTATAATGTGACTGGGCTTGAACACATGGGAGCACTTGCCTGATACCATGTATGTTTTTGATGGCGTAACTTATTTCTCTCCTCAGTTCCTTCTCATTGAATTCCATCTAGAGGAACAAAAGCAAATGAGATCTATTAGGGGAAGTTTTTAATAAACCAGAAAATATTACCTCTCCCAATACAACTGGAAGACAGGCAAGTTCAAATGGCAAAATACTCATTTCTAATTAAACTAAACAATGCATAAGTATCTTAAAACATTTTAACACTAAGGCTACAGGCAGCAGTAAGGATTGTTGAAAATTATGTACCCTTCCATTCCAGATATACCAACAGCTGGAATGACTTTGCAGAGTTGATCGAGTAAGCCAGAAACAGGATTTGGAAGAAGTAACTTTTTTTTAAGCCTGGTTTCCTAAAGTGGTGCAAATTCTGTGATTATGGTCTGTTTATCCTCCCCTTCCCATTCTATTGTTTTTCAACCAAATCTAAGAGAGGAGTGGTCTCAGTTATGAAGTTATAAAGCTGCTCTTTAAGTTTCTTGAAAGCCAGCTAGCTGGAAGAGAAGTTAGTGTTCTCACAAACAAAAGGGTCATTACCTAAGCCCAACTGTCATCTGTTCTGTTGGACTGCTAAGACGACTTACCACATTTAAAACTTGGAACCAGCCACAACCCTATCTGGTTCCTACCCAAATGAAAGTTAGCGGATGTCAAGGCAGTTGAACATAAAACAGGCAGAAAGGAAGTTTAGGAAAAGGAATGGGGACTAGAAATAAGAGTTCATGGTGAGGGTAAGCTGAAGTCATTGCAGCGAAAGAAAAATCAAAGATATGTAACACGAATTCATAGGAAAACAGGTTTCATTAGTTCACACCCCACTGGGCCTTTGTTTATTGTTACCCAAAGCATCAGTAAGCAAGAAGAGATGTATCAAGAGGAGAAATGTTATCTCAAAACACTCAATTTGCTTCTGCTCCACCTCTCACTCATGAAAGTGTAGGACTGAAAGCTGGCTTTGGTTTAAAGCATTGAATATAGGAAATAGAAAACACAGAAAATTTATATTTTCCATAACTCTAATTTTTATAGGTACTAGCTACTTCACACAACTTAAATTTACCAGAGTAGTTGTTTGCCTATCCCCATCTAACCAGAAGGAAGATGCCATTTGTGATAACACAATAAAAAGGCATGGAAAATAGTAAGGAGGGGACTATAATTATATTGTAATTCCTATATTTCAGAATTTTTAGCATGTCTCAGTATCCAAAACTAGAAAGGAAGCCAAATGGCTCAATTATAACTTCATGTAATTTCTTCCACAGTTAAGAGACCGAACACTGGAACAGGCTGCCGAGAGAGGTTGTGGAGTCTCCTTCTCCGGAGACATTCAAAACCTGCCTGAACGCATTCCTGTGTGACCTGCTCTGGGTGGTCCTGCTCTAGCAGGGGGGTTGGACTAGATGATCTTTCGAGATCCCTTCCAACCCCTCACATTCTGTGACTCTGTGATTCTTCAAATCAGACCTTATCTTGGCTTTACTACTATAAGTATGAACATAAGAACATATAAATAAAAAAAAGCACTACAGCAAGATGAATAAATACCTTCACTAGTTCAAAAGGAAAACGTTCATGGAAAATACGATTGATTTTGGCACCTCCTGAAAGTTCCAGTGTATCAACCTGATCTCCTGATCCTTCGATTCTTTTTTCAAAGTCCACTGAAAACTGTTGTACCATCCTAAATTTCAAAGGGAGGAGAAAAAACCATACATAACCATTTAAGCATGCCAACTACCAGCTCTTACTTCAGTACCATGTGACTGCTAGTGCCTATCAAAAAACACTTAAAAATTTACAAAATCTGTAACAACATTCAAGCTGCCAATGCATAAAATCCACACCCCCTACACTCCTTCTCTCAAGCAGGACATAGCTTGGTAATACTATTTTCTTTCTTCATAAATGTTGTATTTAAAAAAAAGTTTATTAAACTTCATATTAAAGTCAGCTACAAATTTAGCAAGGTATCAGGCTACATTCATGCTTTATCAGTGATCACAAAACTGTAAATGCTACCATTATTTATTATATAAATTTTCAATATTTTTTTTTAGGAGAAGAAGAAGCGATAGCAGTCTTTTTAGTAGGATAAGCAAAGAAAGTCCTAATGTTTAAGTTATAATACTTACTGTATTTGAACAGAAAAGCACACCCATATTTAGATGCTGTTACAGAAAATGCAGAGCTCAACAGGGCAGACCATCACAAGCAAAAATTTCCAATCTTATGGCAAAGGGTACTATTTGCAGAGAGCTTACTTCTCTTACTTCTCCACAATGACCCTTTGATCTTTCTAATACCTTTCAAAAAGATATAGCCCAACAGCACGATGTGAATCAAACCACTAAGCTGATCCAGTGCTGGAAAATTGGAAGAGACTGCTAAGGAACTTACTTTCCCACACCAAAAAGCTGGCCCAAGAAGCAGCACTAACATGGCAATGTGGCAGCTGTCAGTACCGCAAGCTCCAGCTTACTTGGTTGTGCTTAGACTTCTGCAGCAGAAGCATTTAGAAGAACACACACGAGAATTCCTCCAGTTATGGAAGATTCAGGGATCGCTCAATTTTATTTTTTTTTTTTTAAATAGTACAGGCATTTGGTCATAAAATTTGAAATGACAGATTCTGCCAAAAAGTGACATTGCATATCAACTGTACATAAACCTCAGATAACTATATGGCCAGGTTAACAGAATTATAGAAACAGTCCAAGTGTAGGTGACCAAACTCCATTTTTGAAGAGGATTGCAGAAATTTAAGACCATCCTATGGGGCAAGGTGACACAGATTTTTTTTCTTATACGCATTATGGAACTTGTTCTCAAGAATTGGAGGAAAGGGTTCTAGTAATGTTACTTTCCACACCCCAAAAGGGAAAGTGAGACTTTTTACTGACAAATGAAGTTAATCTCTCCTATAGCACCTCCTTGTAACGAAGAAATTAGAAAAAACTATGCAGAGAAGTATCAAGTAGGATGACTTAGGCTGAAATGGAATTAAATTCTCTTTTCTTTAGAACACATTACAATAGTAGAACAAGCATGAGATAACAGCAACACCTAACAATTCATAACACTTCATATACATGTTTATAGCAGTTAAGTCAATAAATACAGAAAAAAAACAAAACCCAGCTGTGTTGTACTGTCACAGAAGAGTCAAAGGTCCCTCTGTTTTTGCAACCAAAACATTCAAAGTAAAGTCGCGAGGGACAGACTTATGTCAAAGTCAGATGAACAGCCATCTCTGTTTCGTCACTTTACAACAGTGTTATCAAAGTCTCTTCAGACAGACTTATTTTGTGGATGAAACCCAAACTGGACGGACAGTGACTTCAGCAAAGCTTTTCTAGTGAAAAAGCTTTCTAGTTTGGAACTTATGATAATAATGTAGCTCCACAAATTGTTGCAATTTCTCTGACAAACAATAATAGTATACAATTCATGACTTCTTGAGCCCCAAAGGGTCAACATCTTCCAGGTTGGTTTTAACACAAGCACAGGTCAGATCACCTATTTTGCCACTAGCTGTCAGATGTGTGCTCAGAGAGACAAACTGCAAGAAAGAGGTTTTCATCCACCCCAATACAGTATCAGTTAAACCTAAGAATGGCCACTCTACAGTGCAGCACACATATCATGGCAGTCACTAACAATAAGTGCCTACGAGGACAGAGCAAGCACACATTAATATTTCTCCTGAATACTCTCTTGGCATCAATAAATTGCTGTTAGGGGATTCAATACAGCAGTTATTTGCCCTTGTACTTACCAACCTTAAACGTTTTCTCCATCCCAAGAATTTGCCTAGCTGCTTTCTAAAAGCACATAAATATTTAGTATCAGCTCCTGCAGCAAAGAGCTCTGTGGCTTATGTGCCCATCCCATGAAGGACTACCATCTATGATAAATTTTGATCTTGCCATGTTCGAGTTCTTTTGGATAGCCAAGTTTTTATATTGGAAAAAGAAGCATTCCCTATTCTCCTTACAGACTTCTAACACAATCTCCATTGCTTGAGGTCATCGTTTTGTCAGGCTGAAAAATCTGCCTATACAATCAGAAGCAGTTTCTTACCTTTGATCATCTATGTTGACCATCTTTACACCTTTTTCTGTTCTGCTTTCTCTCTTTTCTAGGATTACTAAAATGAATTTAAAGAAAACTCTACTGAAATTGTAGAGTAATTAAAGTGTTCTGGAACATCAAGCACAGAATTCTTTGGAGTTTGCATACCGAATCCTTAACGGTATCCTAACCTTTTTAATCTAAATCCATCACAAAGAAAAAAAAAATTTAAAAAAATAAAGGCAAACCAAACCTATACAAAGTGAAAAAGTAGACAAAAGGCTAGACACTCACTGCAACAGGGCTTTTGTTTTTCTGGTTGGATCTTCTGGTCTGAAGTTTTTGTATACCTCTACTTCATGTTCTATAGAAAGCAGCTGGCTCTGGAGTTTGCTTCTGAAAGCTGGCAGGGTATCCCGAATATGATTGGTAAGTTGCTAAAAAGCAAGTAAAAGACCTTTTATAAAGATGAAAGCAAGAACACAACCATTTCCTTCTGACTGCCAAGCATATCAGCCGTGACCTATGCTAGTTTACCAGTGTAGTTCCTTTTGATCTTTGAAGCAATGGAGACTGTTAAAGAACAATACAATATCCCTTCTGCATACACATTATAAGGAGGTCTGAAAAATTCCTTCATCCTCTCATTCACTGAGCCCTGTTGCTACATACTTGTTTAGTTACATGCGAAAAATACACACATTACGTATTTAATTTGAAATGATCTCTCATCACTCAGCACTGATGCCACCACTCCCATTTTGCTGGTTTTCCTAAGGGTGTTTCCCAATTCCCTACATACTTGTTCAGCATGACGACTCCTTTACTTTACAGCCACGAGGCAATGTGGGACAAGGAAGAGATTCTGAGTATCCATTGAGATACTCATTGAGTACTTTGAGAGCCCATTGAGAACAAAGATGAAGGGAAGTGTAGACACACAGAGTACCTACTTGGCACCCTCCCGCCATTGAGAAAAATCACCGCCATGTGATTTTTGCTCCCTTGTACAAAGTATACTAAAGGGAAGAGATTGTGACCTCATATTAATGATTATAGAACTCTACCTTTTTAAAACATTCGATATTTGACTGAAAAAGGTTCTACCACTCAAGATTATCAGTTTTCATTTCTGAAAATATACCTAGAAGTGCTGAAAAATAAATTGAAGGAGAGTAGAAAAAGGCTTACCAGATCTGTGTTCAAGTTACCTCACTTACTTTTGCATGTATATGTTACAATGTGTTTGGACAGCACTATCAATGTCTTACCTGTGCCATAAATTTCTCATGCATGGTACCCGTTCCTTGATTGAAACCAACGCGGACTACTTGCACTATGCTGCAAACCCTCTTCCCAACCCCAATCAGACAAGCTATTAAATTAAGAGTGTCATACACCAAAATATGTAAACTCAAAATAAAAATCGTTCAGCAGACCCGACAGGCACAAAATAAAAAGCTGGAGTTTCCCTGGAGCACCACCTTGTGGATGCAGAGAAATTTAAATATTACCTGAAAACACAAACACTAGTAGGTGTTTAACATCTTGGGGACGAAACTTTAATAGATCTTCCCATATAGAATATTCTACACACAGTAATAGCAACAGAAGACCAACAGTTCATGCTGAAATAGGTAAATTTATGAAACAGCTCACAAAAAACAGTTAATAGTACATGAGGTAATGCAAGTCAGGACAGATAAAGTCCAAAGGTATATGCAGCTCATGCTTCAGTCTCAAAACTAAGACACACGGATTAAACTTCAAAGATATAAAAAGAGGCAAAACATCCTAAACACAGACAAAATTGCAGAA